TATATAGATATTATGGTTTTTCTCGGAAGTAATTTCGAACATAAACCAGAGGGCTATCAAGTTCCCGACAGATTCGCTAGTGCCGCAAGCACCGCTCTCTTAAGACAGTACGGTCTCTGATTGGAGCTCGGCAATGAACTGCTTAGATCAAATGAAGACTATCACTCGTTTCCCTGTACACTGATAAATGCTTGATGTATAATTTTAGGATGCTCTTGTCCTTTTTGGGTAATAAATTGTGTACATTAGTGTTACCAACATTACTTGTATGTATGTATTAATTGTAATAATAATCCCTATTGAATCATATTTAGCGAACATTTAGTTTGACCTGAGTTTATTTTTCCAGTTAAAAGGCAATTACCGAAAGAGTAATAAATCATGGGATCGAAGTTTAGTTCTAACGTATTTTGGATAAGCTAATCCAAAAGTATAATGCTCTAATTTTTTGTTTTCACCTGCGCTGTAGGTATGAGGCGATCCATGTACGAGATTGTTTAAACAACGGTTTAGCGGAGTCGCCTATACTACCGCTTGAAGCAACACTCAACATGGCTCGTATTATGCAATCATGCTTAGACCAGATGGGAGCCAAACTTAAAATTTAACTGTTTAAAAGACGGCGTTGTTGATCAAACAACGTACAAATCTACGTGCACAACAATGCAACTAATAACCGAAGGAACCTTTTTATATCATGAATTGAATTGCATAAAGCATTTATTCCGTTTCAAAAATAAAAAATTCTATTTTAATACAATTATAATTGACTTGGTTGTTTTCGCTTCCGATTGCTCTTCGTTATGCTCCATATGGACACTATATACCACATCTCTAAGCGGTTTTCCAGGTAAAAATATGTGACACTCAATGTTGCTACCTATTGAGAAATTTCTATCATGTAACCGATTGATCTACATTTGTACAAAGTTCGTGTAAAGCATGGCATTAATAAATCGTTTGACAGCCCACATCCAAAAGCATTCACAACGCTAAGTGTTAATTGTGATACGTGAGACTGCTTTACACAACCAAACCCAACATCGCCATATATATATAGGGCGGCGGCGAAATTTAGCTTAAGAGAGCTATACAACTTCCAAGCTGACGGGACACGTTCAAAACTAGCGCTTTCTTCTAGCTACAGCAACTTCTACTTAACGGCATCTTAGTTATCTTTTTATTTCCTTTCATGTATTATACGAATTATCTGAATTATATGAATCTTGAAACAAATTAACAGATCACCAAATAGTTTTTTTTTCATTTTGGATATGGTTGCTGTGGCCTCCGAGCCCGTTGTAGCCAGTGCGGATCTTGCTGTCTCTGTCGTTCCGACTGCTCGACTTGCTCATTACCATTTCCAAGAGTTGATCATCGTTGACGTCGCCCTGGGTTTTCGGCGTTGGCTTCTTCACGCCAGATACGATCTTCATTTTCGAGTAACCTAACAATGCCTGGAATATTCGCGAACGTAACAACATGGCAAGCTCGGATTATATGCTCCACAGGTATATCAGTTGCAAAGTTTCTCAATGAAGGTATCTTTAATTTTCGATTCGAGTAGATCGGTACTAGTTACACAACTATCTAACAATGGCATCTTGCCGTACGTTCTGCTCTTTTGGCGACCCACGCCGCAGTCCTTTGTTCCGAAAAACGCTTCAGTTTTTCCGTCCGCATCGAATGAGACCACATTATGCTTTAGCAGAAAAGACCTCATCTCTCCTATTACTGGATCCTTTTATAAGACCTAAATCAAAACTGTTTGTACATGGAATGTTTTCGAAGTGATATCAAACGAACTCTTACTTCCATGCCTTGTATACTAAAGATAAAACTTCTCGGCGCTTTCAGCCCGGTAAAGGCTTATCTACAAATACGGTATACAAGGGTTCGAAAATGTCTAGATACAAACTAGCACGAGTAGGATCTTTTAACGCTAGCACCAATTGACGTTACAACTATGACAAACAACGCCACCACGGACAAGTTTTGCAGACTAAAAATAAAACATTAATTATTCATACTCTACAATATACTATATAAACTTATTCTGCATATGGCTGATTGTAAATGTATAATCCCTAACGCTCCATACCAATGGAAATATTTTTTTTCCATCCACTGGCTCTTTGTCGGCGAGGAAACCCATCCGTTGTTTCAATACTGGGGGACTTGGCACAACTGTGATGTCCAACGACGAATCAAGTTTTGTTTTTTTCCTAACATGTTCCCTGCTTTCGGCTGATTGTCCATCGCATAGCCGTTTTGACCCGCAAGGCATATGGCATCCGTCTGGCAGATTCTCCAGTTGATTCTAACTCACAAAAGATCACGTTAAGCAATGGGCATAATAAATATCTTGAAAAAAATACTTTGCAAAGTTGACATAATAATAGAAGCATACACATTTCTACAAACAACTGAAAAACCGCAAGGAAAAGAAGTAATATAATCCACTTACTGCGAGTTTGGTACACTGCTCCTTGAACTTTGTTATTTCTGCGCTAGCCGCCTCAAGTTTTCTACTCCTTTCAGCAATCTCGCCGTCTTTTAGAGCTAGCTGCCGGTTCAAGTCGGATACGTCCTTACGTATAATCCGGACCTCGGATTTAGCTGACGTCAACTCCCGTTTGAGAAGTACACAGTATGTGGCTATTTGCCTCATTGAATTTTCGCTTGGACCATACGCCGTCAGCAGTTCTTCAACTTGTGCTGTCGTACCATCCAATATAGTTTTCAGGTGATTCGTCTAAAATGAGGAAAACATATAATAAAGCAATCAGCCAGGTCCGTGCGATACGTGATGCGTTTAATGCTAAGCTATTTTCACAATGAGTAGAGCATTGTATTTTCACCTAATAATAATTCTCAGACGATCCGTCATATAGCGTTCCGGCGGCATAATCTTACCGCATAATGTATAACCCACAACAATATTGAATCGCACTTATTATGCTAGCCACAGCCAAATTAAATATAGTGTTTTATTCGTGCCTATTTTCTACATTGCTCTAACATTAAAATATCTATTCTCTGAAAGGCAGCTGGTTGCAAGGTTTACAGAATATGGCTTGGTACATTTATGTTGATGCTAACAGAGGTGAAGTACGGGGCCGCCTGGTAGACGTTAGGTGTTTACTGTCATTGACGGGCATCTATATAAATATCAGACTCGAGTAATTTGCCAACTCTACATAGATAAAGCTGAGTGGGCTTAAAACGAATACAAAATTCGAATGTGGAGAAGACCTAAAACCCAGTCTACCTAGCAACACAGTAGTATCTATGGCTCGCCGCATATGGGACAAGCTTCTTCCACAGCTCCTGTGCTACCCAGCGCCCACTGGTGGCAACCAACGACGATCCTTGTAACAGTATACAGAAAGAACAATGGTTGCTACCCGCTTACTCTGACCGATCAGATTGCACTCATAGTCCCATTTATACACACATGCTCACCGATTCACAGCTCCAAAAACAATTGCAACAATTCTTGTACAGCTATATCTGTCCAGCTGCCAGTAACTTTCAACCGAAAATATGTAGCGGTACAACAATTGCGGTCTCCGTTCTTTGCTCGTCGGTTTATTGTTCATCGATCTCATCGGATCTCAGAAATGCATTGAGCTTCTGCCTCGATGTGCATGTGTGTGTGTATCTGGTGCACTCACTGAAATATAATCAAATCTTGTCGATCTTGTCGGTTGGAGTAAAGGGGCAGGCGTAGGACTGCCTACCAGAAATCATCATCATCATTATCAAATGGCCGTCGCAATAGGCCAATGCTTGCTGAAGTGTTGTTCCACTTCAATCCCTATATCCAGATAGCTGGGGGCAGCTGGGAGGTCCGAGTCTGTCATTGACACACTAATACATTTCCGACAATATCGGAAGCCGATCCATAAGGAGCACGTTTGGACTTTTGAAATTATTGTTCCAAAAATCTTCTCCAAAATATGTGGAGTGTTATATATTAGGCAACAGGCATTAAATGATTGTTTAAAATAGCCGCTCGGATATTTTTTGTGCCAGATAAACGGATCGCAAGCGATATTCTTCGCATTTGTTTTTAAAAATATTCCTACCCCGTGTAAAATGCAAAACGTACCTTTTCAATTGTGTCCCTCAGACCGGTAATGGTTTCATGAAGTTGCTGATTCTCCAGAAGGTGCGCCTTGAACGTTTTAGTTTTCGCTTTTAGAGCCTTGATTTCGTCTGATAAAGTGAAGCACTTTTGCTTGTACTTGTTTACTTCAGCTTCTTTCGCTGTGAAGAAGCCTTTTAGTCGTTCGGAGTTCTCCTCTTGCGTGGCTACCTGCTGTCGCAATTCGTGAATTCTGGTATAAGCATTTGATAGTTCGTTTTCAATTTTTCCCGAATCTGAAACAGATTTAAATGAACTGCAGCTGACGAAAAGTAAAATTTTATTTAAAAATACAGGAGCTGATAGAAACAAAGTTAAGCCTACAAATTGCCGAGAAAATGACGTAACTAAAATAAATAATCTAATTTAGGTGAAAACGAACCCGTAAAAATGCAATATAGGTAGTTGTCTTCGTTGTGTGTACTGAGCATTTTAAGAGTAAATATACAAACGCTTCACTTTCAATATGTGTGACGACGTCGTCCAATGTAGCTTGTATGCATAAAGATGTACACCGCGACATAATACATAGATGAGTGATAAAAATTTAGCCGATAGATAAAGATGTATTTTGCTTTTATTCATTATAGACTTCATCAAAAAAAAATTCTATTACCTGTTATAGTATCATCTAGCGACATTAAGAAGATTTTGCGAACCTCGCGTAGCTTTACACGTATTCGGCACGTTGGGCAGGTCGGATTGGACTTTAGCCATCGGTCTAAACATGCTGCATGAAAAGTGTGACCGCAAGGAACACTGGAAATGTCTGACCCACCCTCGAAATGGTCCGTACATATAACACATTGACAACGCATCCTTTTCTGTAAGCAAAAGATCAAAATAGTTAATGAAATTATAAACAAAAATAAAGACCCATTTTTTTCGTTTTTATATCGTCTCATAGTAGTATAGGGTAAAATATATTGTGCAGGTTCTGTTAGAACACAATCCTTCAGAGATATAGTTTTCAGCACGGTGTAAGCGCAGGCCAGAGAGCACTTCTGATTTCAGCAATGAATATGTTATTTACAGGAAAAAAACTTATTGAAGAAAACTACGCGTGTCCGTGTGCTGTAATGGCCGCCGTACATTTCAACCTACCGTTAGTGTGCTGTGGCGTCATCGATTAAACATAGCAAAAAGTATTATTGGCATTGACGCTGATCGGTTCAAGCCACCGCCATCACCTGCATTCACTCGGAAAAGAGAAGAATGGCATACAATGAGCCTCTGAAGCTTTGTTTATATTACAACGATGATACATAAAAAACACATAATTTTTTTGTATAAAAAATCGTTTTAGTTGAAACACAATTAACTTTTTGCCAACGAAATTAGGAACTTAATTTCTTAAAAATCCTATCAGACAAAATTAAAGAGCACCTCTTAGGATTATGCATGTATTTTTATTAATTCGAGTTTAAACAAAGTACCTTTAGATTGTGCAATTATTAACGAAAACAACAACACGATTCTAATTTGAAAAAAAGCCCAATTGGTTTATAGAAATGATGAAAATCATATGATTCTAAACGATATTGGCGCCATAGTATGCTGTATTGTTTATACTTTCAAAATTCTTGCACGTTCGAAGATCCGTTACATACGATAAATGAACGACTAGTCATCTGACGGATAGGCGAAGAAAACTCAATACTACGAGTGATATTAACGTAATTATACCTGACAATTGGCTCTCCAATGTAACGACACAATTTTTGTTCGTATACTGATTAATTCTAATAACATATAATAACAACATAGTATACGAATAACAACAGTCCTCTGATTTCCAATGGACTTTAAATGTGCTCAGCGTCGATCTGCAAATAGAAGACCTTAATCGTCGGATACATCCGTGCTCATTGGGTACAAGACGAGGGGAAAGAATTCTGACAGCCAATAATAGCAACGCAAGCAACGAATAATCCCCAGAGAATTACGTTGAGTGCTGTACTCGTCCGGGAAGTGAAATGTATGGTTTTTGTTAAAACCATGTCTGATGTAAATGTTAGACACATTGCGGTATTGAAGAAATGAAAGTAACGCGAAGACGAAAACTGATCTAGGTTGAAACGTTCTCTGAAGGAATTATACAAGCTCCGTTGCTTAAAACGAAACCTGACAGCCCTTTATATGTAATATTCGTCATTATATGTGTGCTTTAACTGTGACGTTTTATTATACCCTGCGCTGTTTAGTCAATAAATTAGTTATTTTTTATTTAATTCCCTTACTAATTATGTATGTGCTATAAATTGATATAAGTGTATTATTTGTGTCGTTGATGATGGTATATAGTAACAATATTCATTATAATGTGCACACTTTATGCCAGCTGGCGTGGAGGAATGGCTTTCACGCATGACGAACATGGCTACATGATTAATATGTATTTTATTTGTATTCCATGCTTTCTGAGGCTATCACTAATAATAAAATTTACCTATTTTATAGCCATCAATTAGAAAAAGTATGACGACCGAGACAGGGATTGTTGAACAGCCACTGACTCGAAAAAACGTCGTTTCCCTCCAGGAGTACGTGTTGCAGGGGTCCATCATGGATGGCGCCTGCGATGTACTTCTGCATAGGTCTGAAGCCTTTTTGTTCTTCTAACCTTACTTAGATAAGTGACGAATTTGGATATACAGTATGGTTTATATGATATATCGTTATATATTAGTACAAAGCCAAGAAACTGCTACGATATTTCGAAGGCATTATAGAGGTGTAGCTTATTTAGACACAATTTTTTTTATCTATTTGTTCTAATAACCATTTTATTATTACTCGATTTTGTGTCTCACTAATAGGTTGCGTGGTCTATGCGACAATGCTGATTCCCCGGTAGAGACGTTCCATGATATTGAGCAAGTATTTACGTTGCGAGATCAAAACGGAACTCCATTTTCTCTTCGAGCGCGAAACGCTCTCGACAACCCTCAGATGCCATGGCAACTTAGGTAAGAAACCCGCTACCCTCTAATGTAGTGTCTGTTGTGTGGTATTCGTCTGAAAAACATTTTACACTCCTACTTGAGGAGGCACAGTTTCAAATAGTAAAAACTTAGTTTTATCCACGCGTCCATATGAATATTTAGTAAGAGTTTCAGCCAATGTGGTTCTTCTTTCATGATTTGTAAACCCACAGATACGTGGGCCAGCCCGAGGTTGGGGACAAGAATCGTTTTACCATGTGTCGTAGCGTTGTTGAGGTAGGAACCTCTTCGAACCTTGTGACATGGCTGAATGAGCTAGGATTCCGCCTAGATTTCGAGTACGTCGTAAAAGGTCACATGTTTCAAAAGGGCCGCATGAAGGTGCTTGTACAAAAGGTAATTTCTGACCATGTATGACCAAATAAATTAGAGTATAAACCATGGTGCTCATTTTGGCCATGTTTTGTGCATGTCGCTTCAAAAAAGCTGTTTGATAATACGTATTAAAAACAATTGTTTTTAAAGGCTATGCACATCAAAACGGAATCTGCCCCGAACAGAGGTATTGACACGTTGGCATAACTAAATTATTTCAAATCCAGTTAAGTTGCGTTGTAAAATTAGGTAGGCCAAGTTAAACAAGGTTTTTACGCAACATAACGGAACAGTTCTATGGTATTACTTTTAAATGTAGCCAAATGTTTTAATCACAAGGTGAAATTCACTCATTTTATAATAATAGGTTTTAGACAGCCCTAAGTGTAATACTCGCAGTTTCGGTGCTGGTTCAATGAACCCGCCCGTTCGAGTGAATACTTAAGAAGTTCCTTATCGCAACTTCAATTTTTACAAGATGTATCATTATGTAAGTATCATTATAATTCTCAGACGTAGAGTAACATAATCGGAACGCTGATATTGGAAGTAGATACACTTAGGACAAAATATACGGATGTGTTATGATTATACACAAAAGAAGTCAGGTGTTGATATTCTCCCTCCAAGTCTGAATCCGTTGGTTTATGTCTTATGCACTACAGGTGTTTCGCGTGTGCCAGTCCGGTAACCCAGAATCTCTCGAGCCGGTGTCGCAGTCGTATTTGATTGAACTTAGCGTCCTCGCTCCGCCATCGCAAGAAAACCTTGGCGAAGAGATGAAAGCATTCGCTGAACAACTCAAGCCACTCGTCGAGCTGGAAAAAGTCGATCACACTCGTTTGCAAATCATGTAATAATTGAGGTACATGTTCGGGGGTTTTTCAAGTGGCGTCGACGCTGGAAACTGTACATACAATAGTACCAATTTCGTAGTAGACTCGACTGTGTAAAATAAAAGTCGTGCACGCCAGTTTTACGTACCGTAGCAGAAAAATAAATATTTGTCGTACACGTATCGCGTTTATGTTGAGTTATTGGGTTCTCTAGATACCTAACTATCATTACAACAATTACTTCGGTAGTATTAGGGAAGAACTTTAAATCAAGCAAACCGAACGCTCCCTAGTAGATCTAAATAATTTTTCTTTCTAACTAGAAAACTAACGCAAGAGAATTCGCCATGTCCAGATCTCGCCTCTGGAGTTATACAAATTGACAAAGCAATTTTTCTCGAAGATCGGAAAGGTCAAATTATGATGCCATAAGCTACGAGCGCTACAAAGATGGGAAAAAATACAAGGAGACTACTGTATTGAGTTTGGATAATGAGACTGGAGGTGATTTCCGAACCTGAACCACTGTGTCTCCATCGATTCATGAAATGACACAAGGCGCGTGCAAACGAATACTCAAACTACAACTGAAGGCTATTAAGGAGTTGAACAGTCATATGAACTAAGCATTCGCGAAGGTCGAGGGGCGGTACAAGATTTAACAGGAAGTGTGTCCAAGAGCTCAAATACCGATGTAAATTCCCATGAAATGAATAATATCTTGAATATCGAAAAGATATGGTCAAGCCTCTGCCATTATTACGCTGGGCTCTTATACGACGTAGCGCTCCTGAATTGTTTGAAGGATCCAATAGCAGTCCTTAGTATGAATTTCATTGAAGTATTCATTTGAGAGTCTTGTTAAATATTAGATTTTAAAAAAAGCGGAGTATTTGCATAGTAGTGCATGAGCCTGATTAGCCTTTACATGTTTTATGCGTAAAAAATGCTGAACATATACTCCGTTTTATAAACCTTCATAAGCGTGTCTACGCGTTATTGAGATGATTAGGCATAATATACTACGTATTGGGTTTATGTGAGAACAGGATGCAAACAAATTTTTTTATATGTTGTTTTATGCCATTTATTGAGATGTTTAAATTATCAAGTTTGGAAAAACGCAGCATTTTTTTCTGAATAATCACCTACATATGTAGCTACAATGGAAGGGCTTACATAAAGGCATTAGTTCTAATTGCTATAAAGTTTAAAAAAAGTTTCATGCAATCAAAAAATGATCGTAATTTCTGGAAATTCACTAGAAATAAATTTGCCATTACAACAAATACTGATATACGAAGTATACAAGGCTAGTACAAAAATACGTGGAAGACATATAAACTTTACCTTTGCCGCTCCATTACACGAAGTGACTAAACTCAAATCCATTTTTTGATAAAGGAATACACTGATTTTTTTTTCAAATTTATTCATAGTTTTTATCGTTCTCACATAATTTGTTAGTATGAAACTTCCGAAGCAAAGTCATCCATAGTAATATTTTTTGTTGCTGGTTTGACAAATAACATTTCATATTTTACCGCCTACTGAAACCAATGTGTGAACATTCCAGCCTGTTAAGGCCCAAGCAGCCAACCGCCATACCTATGGAGTTGACCTCCTCTTTGTCGATTCCCTCGCCCAGAAATCATAGCATCATCATTATGGCCCAACATTGTCACTATGCTCGATGATGACCATTGGTTTTCCTTTCTTCTCTTTTCTCACTCGAGACGATGTTTAGCGATCATATATTTGTCGATCGAAAACAAGTTCACACACATCGGCACAGAAGGCTTCTTATAGCACATTACCATAAGGTGAAATGCACTCGACCGAGCGAAATCGTACTGAAAACCTTTAGTGCATGTTACTTGTTGAACTCTGATAGCACTGCTCCACCTGCAGCGTAATCAACGTGATGTGTCGTAGTCGTCTGTTTTTACGGCATCCTCTTGTGACTTTAAAGCTTCGATCGTTATATTGAACTTTTGAATTTCCCGGTTGTCGTCGCCAAGGAGGAGGAGGAGGAGGTTATGACTGAGAGAGGCGCCGCTCAACCGCTACCTCGACTCTGCGCCCGCGACGCCGCTGCCTTCATGCAGCTAATACTTTGTCTAGTGCTGCCGCTCCATAGAGAATAGCGGCGTCGAGCAAAATCTTCCCAAAACCCCGCGTCCCACACAGACGAACTCTCCTCTACAGGCGCTTCACGACAATACACGAAACACCCCCATCCCCTCCCCTATCGCGCCTCAGTAGAAAGTTGGATTGCGTTGTACACTATTACTCTGCCTGCGTCCTCCCGCTGCTTGGACAAGAAGCCGCGGTCTGTGCATACAACGGGCACCGCTCCAATAATAACAACGCTTTGTCGCGGCGGAGTTTGTGCCATCCTTGTGCGGCAGGTAGGTTCATCTAGTTTTATTTGGCTTTATCGGATTTTTCATGCCTACGATGTCCTGCTCCGGTGATTTTTTTGTTAGTGATAAAATATTAGGCGGTAAAAAAGATACCCGGTTTGAAGCGGCGTTAACAAAGTGACAGTTTGCTTTTCGGCTTGGTCGATGCTTATAACGGATTAATCACTTTGACAAGTGTAGCCTTGACTTGAATTTGTTTAAAAGTTATCAATGTTGCTATTACGCGGACTCTAAATACTGCTGCAAAATGCAACTCGTTACCAATACGTTTTTGCGCACTTTCGGCTTGCGGCTCCGAACGTCGAGGTGCGATGAAGCAGTAGGAGCGTGACGTCAGGCCATTAATGAACCGAAATTAGGGTTGAGAGAGGCTGTTGAACGACTGCCAAAATAGGTTTCATATGGACTCGCGGATCGAGTAGCAGAGCAAATATGAATTAATGGACGGAAATCGTCGAAGAATCGTCAATTAGAAAAGATACAAATATTGATAGTAAGCATGGCATGCTAAGGTGGTGTGCAAACGGATAGCCATACCTAAAGCAGTGCGATGGTTGTGAAACTAAGCCGGCAAAATGTTACCGCGCCTAAAGCTTACATTTTTCTTGGGGCGCGATTTTTAAACGAGTTACCCGCCTTTGTAAATATAAATGTATTGCGGCTCTATACTGAGCTTGTTTTGAATCGGCTGGAACACATTTAGCTTAAAAAATAGGCTTCTGGTGGCGCCAAACTGCTTGCAGTACGTTGATGTGCAACAAATTACAGACGGATCTGAAAAGCTATTTCTAATTTTGTCCTGGTTATTAAAAGAGAAATACGAACCTTTATCGATTCCCTGGTCCAGCACTAGCATAAGTTGCGAAGTTAAATCGGTCGGCGAGCACTTGAACTCTAAACGTTCTATTTTAGTTAAGACAAACTCAAAAAACGACTCCAATTAACAAAATATTGTGCCGGGAAAATGCGTTATTTGAAATCTCCTAGGTAAAAAAAAATACGCTTAATGGAATGGCCAAGATTATGTGAGAAGAAGACATCTGCATTGCTCAATGTGTTTGACAGATATCTTTATTCGATATATGAAACTCTACAAGTTTGGTTTGAAAATGATTGCTTTATAACAGATGTATAGTCCACGTCTAATAATTCATCACGCTTTGGTTGTTCTTTGCTAACATCCCGTGCTTTCTGTTGTGAAAAAAGAGATTCTGTAGAATGGATCAGCGACGTGGACGCAACCAGCAGCGTGCGGGTCGTTCAGGTGCTGGACCAATGAGAGGACCACCTGGCCGTATGGGTCCGCCCGGACCTCCCGGCCCTATGGGCGGTCCTGGCGCTCCTGGTGGACCCATGCGTGGTCCAGGTGGGCCTGGAGGGCCTCCTGGAGGCCCAATGCGTGGTCCAGGTGGGCCTGGTGGCCCCCCAGGCCGTATGGGTCCCCCTAGCGGCCCCGGACCGATGCGCGGTGGACCCGGAGGCCCTGGGGGCCCTGGAGGATTTGGCCCTGGCGGACCGGGAGGCCCTGTTGGCCGTATGGGACCACCTGGAGGTCCGGTACTTGCTGGACCTGGTGGCCCTATGCGAGGACAGGGAGGACCTATGAAGGGACCTGGCGGTGGACCTATGCGTGGACCTGGAGGACCGCTTAGGGGTCCGGGAGGTCCTGGAGGACCTCAACGTGGAGCAGGTGGTCCAATGCGCGGACCCGGCGGACCAGGTGGGCCACAACGTGGACCTGCCGGTGGACCCGGTGGACCAATGCGGAATGCAGGAGGACAAATGCGTGGACCTGGAGGTCCGCAGGGCCCCATGACCGGCCAACAACGAGGCCCGAATGCTGGCCGCCGTGGCCCTAACCAGGGTGGTGATGCTGCAGGCCCTAACCAGAAGCGCGGACGCTGGGAAAACAACCAACAGCAGGGTGGATACAATGTCCCTCTACAAGGCCAGAACAACCAAGGCTACAGTGAATACAGCCAACAGGACAATTATCCTCAGAACAACGGAGGTGGATATCAGAATGGAAACGATAACGGTTATAATGGTAACCGCAATGCCGGCGGATACAGTCAGGGACCACAGCAAGGCCAAAGGTACAATCAGGGAGGCGCAGGTGGAGGGTGAGTAAAATAACGAGCAGTCTGTTAAAGCTAATATTGTGATCTAGAACTAAGGTCAGATATAATGATCTTCATTTGGCTTTATAATATATGGCTCCTACCATATATCGCTGTGAAGGTAAAGTCGTAGTTTCTAATATTGTCCTGAATACGGTGAAACAGGTACCAAAACAACGGTTACGTTGCCGGTGGAGGCGGTGGCGGATACCAAGATGGCAGCCAACAACAAGGCTATAGTAACAACGCAGGCGGCTATGGCCAAAATCAGAACTACGCCCCCAAGAGCAACTACCGTCAAACTGGCGGGGGTAATAGCGGTGGAGGAGGAGGAGACTACGGTAAGTGCCATCGAAAAATTTCAGATGTTATCTGTAAATAGCAGCTGCAATTAGTTGTACATAGCGTTGAAACAAGTTTCAAGCGGTGTCAAACTCTTCACTAAATATAATGTACGTTAGTTTTTTTTCGCAGTGTTCGTAGAAGTTTATCTTAGGAAAGTAGAGAAAATGAGTGGCTGCTCCTCTGGAGTATTTCGAGATTTCTTGATATGAACTTAATTTTTTACCATACACATCATTGGAAATATACTGTTTATCCTAGCACGAGGCTCACACAAAGTTACTTACGAAAATTTCTTGGTCCGTTTTCGAAATAGTTGGTATGAGTTGAAAGATATATAGGGTTGACTCGTTTTGAATATTGAACTATAAGGAAATAACACTTGGATTTACCTGTTTACTTTGTTTGATGTAATGGTTTAGGTTTTGGTTGTAGAACTAAAGCTTTTATTGACATCCGTTGAATATAATTACTCATTGAAATTAAACAAGAATTTGGTCCAAAAATTATAAAAAAAAATAGGATGAGAATACCCATTTAGATATCCTTGACTGAACCCTACTACATACTGAATATCATGCAAAATCAATCAAAACAACCAGTATAAGCCAATTAACTTTTAGTGCAAATACTAGCACGATGTATAACTTCCCTAGACAACAAATAAGATTTTGACTTTTATTATACCAATGAATATATTAAATACCTTTATTCTCATGATTCATTTTTAGAATAGAGTTAATAAACCCTTCTTGTACACTAATGCTGCATAACAGGTGCTAAGTAGGCGAACTAAGAATATGATGTTTCTGAAAATCACATTTTTTTCAATGAAAATCACGTTTTTTTCAACCTATTGTCTTACTCTGCAGGGTATAGCAACGAAGGCCTTCAGGCCGGTGGCGGAAGTGGCTACGATAACTACAACCAGAGGCCTGTGCAGAACAGAAACCAGGGCTACAATAACGGTGGCAACTATGGCCGAAGACAACAGCCATATTAGGGTGGATTCTACATGGAAGATGACAAAAATTAAAAAAAAAATTGTTTTGAGCAATAAAAGTGACAACACTAATAATGAGTACATACGTAATAAATACAATGACGTCAATGTAGACGATAAAAATTGTGAAGTCTAAATAAAGCTGTAAATTCATGCATTCGGTTTGATAACGGAAAATTACTGTTTTGTTTATATTTGTTGGAGCAATTTACTTTGCACTACTACTTGTACAAAAATATCTAAAAAACTTACTTCTGTGTTTACAACTAATCATAGTATTTCCTGGGCTACTTGTTTTCTGTCGTTTTTCTCCCTATTGGTATCTATTACATTCATAAAAATCAATACCTAAAGTAATTTACACAGCAGTCCCTCTTAATGAGCTGGACGATGGCGGTAGTTAACCTCCGAGGTCATTTTTCAACATAGTAATTAAGTAAGTGCGCAATTGGAGACGATTGTATTTTTTTGTATTGTAACATTTATATATGATTTAACAGTTGAAATGATTATTGTTGCCACACCTTAAAATGACAGGATTTATAATTAGATAGTCATTTTCGTACGCAAAGGCATGATCTTCATGTGGGGCTTTTGTGAAAAACATTTGCTCGTCTAGGTGACTATCGTACGCCGAATTCTGTTCAACCCAAAATTCACTATGACAAAAGATCGATTGTTGTGCGCCTTAAATGGCTAAACACACCTTCTTTGAGCTACTGGGCAATCATTTAGCCTCTGGGACAATTTGGCATAACATCAGTTAGTTGAGATAGCTCCACATGCTACAGTTTGCTGAAAGTTGGATTTTACCGAAGCATATCTAACCACAAGCGCTGCGTGAGTCATAGCTCCAGCTACTTATGCCGTCCATTGATACGTTTGCGCATAGTTTGTGGTAGATTAACCTGATCGGGTCCATAAAAATACCGTACAGTTGTCCTATTAGTAGGTTTTCAACTTTGGCTGAGCTCTATAAAACGGGCATTGACTTCTGTTAAGTAATCCACAGTACTTTTGGCATTACGTACTATCCAATATGACAAGTTCTTCAATTGAAGCTTACTGCTCCAACAGGTTACAATTTAGAGGAGCAGAATTTTAGTTATTTCAGACTCGTTCTCGGATCGTAAAAACTCACCTTTAATTATTCATTTTAGTTCAGTTTTAACAGCCAAATGTGAATTTAATTTTTTTTTTAAAACAGCTGATTAAGATTTTTAGTTATTGCTAAACTACAGATATGCAATACGCAAAAATAACATTAAAGGCCTAATACCTTGAATATATCAGGCGCTTACATTACCCCCTATCTGACTGAACCTAATTTCTAGTAAAGATCCTGCTACAAGGCATAAAAGATATTGTTAGCTTGTTAAACAAAAACAGGATGAAGAAATGAAAAAAACCTTATTAGCAAACTGAAACTACAAAACAGAATCAGTTAGCACGAGAATTAAGGTCTCGATCCAATAAGAAGTATTATATTTTGTGTACCCAGCACGTATCAAATCAAGGACTCCCCGTTACCCCCAAGCCTTTCAGCATATTTTTCGAACATTAAAAACAATAACAGTTTGGCGACTCTGTATATTTGTGCACGTAAACCGAGCGGCTGCATCTCTCTTTCTCATCTTTTTTTCTAAGAAATGTAATGTGTTGTTTTTAATTGTTTAAAACACAGTCGGCGTAATGTTCCCAGCATGGTTTTTAATTAATTGAAAGGCATCATTTGCTGATAATATAAATAATGTAAATGCCCCAGGCAAACCTCACGTAGCTCTTCTCAAACGAGTTCGTCTGTTTTAAGGCGAGTAAACGAAAAATATGTATACTTCAGTGCTTTTATGTAACTGGCATTCGATTAAAATGCCTACTTAAGTTAGGTTAAAGTTTCACTATACTGGATTGAATAGTATATTAGACCAAAGACAACGCAAATTACTTGCGGTTAAAATTATTTTCTAAACAGGTTCACTGCTTGTAAACCGTAATACAGCTTTCCTGAGGCACTTTGTGAACTTAACGGTAGCTTCATATAGCTAAACTTCCAGTATAATTACTGCAGTGGTCTATGTGGGTCTTTACATGTTTGAAGTCGTCGTCATTTTTGAGCCATTATGCTGGACTTGAAAAGTTGGTCTCTGGTATCATTTAAATACCCGTCTACTTTTGGACCTTTCAAACACTTATGCATCAGTGTTAGGCCATCATTGTAACAAAAAAATAGTCGAGAAGTGAAAGGCAAAGTGGCTTGGATCAGCTTTTAGTACCGTTAGCTCTTTTACCTTCATGTAAATATTTTTGGGATTCGTGTTTTTTGAGCAAAACTTTTTAGGTCTTGCTAATGATGGATGCCATTGTATCTGGAATGTATATGTAATAAAAATGAATTGCTACGTCCGATTCATTGTAGTTATATAATAACGAGTTTTTAATTAATAAACTATAAATTATGTGATTAACGAACATTCGGGTGCTAGAGGCTCCGAGTTGAAGTTATTTATAGCAAACAGCGTTCTTTTCGTGCTGTTTCACGCCTGCTGCATCGTTGCTGTGTGTCCACTGAATGGTGTTAGGCACAACTGAGCTGGGTTGGTTCAAACAAATACCCTTATGTCTGCATCCTTATCGTACATGCTGCTTTCAAAGGAAGTTGTGGCGCCTTCGGGCAAGATGACACGATGTCAGCTGCAGTTGTAAAGGCGTTGAAAGTTGGCCGCGCCGCCTCTGGCTTTCGAAGACACTTTATTTAGTCGAAGTCCGCAGACGGAGTCGAAGCGAGAAAACGGCCCGAAGCACTTTCAGACAAGTTGAAGTTTATCTCTAGGCTAACTCATGAACTCGATACAACGTACAACATTTATACGTACAAACAACATCACTCGTAGTTATTCATATGTAAGTATTCACACTGTTTAGTCCTGCTTATTACGTTTTATAGTATAAGGTAAAATTGAGCGGTTTAAATTTTCGTTTCGTATACGCATGATTGATTTCTACCATCGAAATTCGATAATAAACCTTCTTCAATGCTCCACTCAAGAAAGTCAGTTGTGTCACGAAGTAATGAGCGATGGTTCCTTATTTATATTTATGGTATGCGGTCGCTGTGAGATACTTTGTGAAAGTTATCTTTTTAGCAGAATATGACCATTCATAGTTTAGAGTCGAAACCTTAGCATATCTTTACTTTTTGTGTGCACAATTTTTTTGATGTTCTTTTATTATACCGTGCTGTTTCATGAGGCACCTTAGTGCTATCATTTAGCTGGAAGTCAGCCGTTTGAAGTAACAGCTAGTGAGTACCAGACGTAGAACACGAAAAACATACTTAGCCAACATTACCATTTTAGCGATCTAATGCGTTAGGTACGTAACAATCAATCAATTATTCAACGCTGGACCTAGATTATCAAACGCCTTATCGCCATTCGAACTATAAATTGCAGTTAAGTTCTTATATTCCAACCCACTGAAACCCACAAAATACAAAGTATCCAAAAAAAAAGTGTATATACTGTTTACCGGGTAAAAATTTTCGATCGTTCTTTTTTGTCGGGGTGAAACCAGTGGGTTTTTGAACTCTTGGCTTTTGAACAAAGCAAATTTAGCAGTGTGAAAATGCAGGAGAAGTATCGTAGGAAGTTTGGACAGATCCACCCGAGTAATTGGTTGAGAGTTTGGAATGGGTGGAACTATTCGGGATGGTCATGGATAGCGTTCTGGAAAGCTAAGAGCATCAACCAGTTTTACTACCCGAGAAAAAGTACTGGAAAGTTATCTTGTGGAAAATCTGTGAGACAATCAAGTCGTGGGCTTGATGTCTAAATATCAAGTGTTCATCGTATTTAAGTGCGCCGTAAATGGTAACCTTACCTCAGTAATGGCACCTACTTACTGTCAAGGGAGATATGACATAGACTCTTGGCACAATGGTAGTTGAAAAAATATGAACAAAACGCACAGTTGTTGGAAGAGATTATTTAGAGCGATGAAGTTCAAAATTAGATGGACCAATCGATCGATATGATTGCGACTGCAAAAACACCATGCAAATTTATCAAAAAAGCAATGTGTAATGTGGAATTTCGAGAGAATGCTTCACTTCTGTTTGACAGTACAGTGACTTATTCATTGCATCGCTGTGTGCCTTCATGAGCACATTGGTAAAGATGGCGAACTCGATTTCTTTCTAGGAAAGAGCGATTGCAAACTGTCACGTTATGTAAGTGAACATCAATAAGAATTTCCCAAACAGGTGGGTTAAATGTAGACGGTCTCTAGACGTGACGTCAATGGACCTTTCCTGTCGGGATATCCCAAGTCAGGACAAGATTTACGCCTGCAAACCCATTACGCTTAATATTTCAAGGCTGCAATTGAGCAATAATACATTCTAACGCCAAATAAACTGTATGGTTAAGTACATCCGACACAAGATACCACACAAGGAGGTTTAACTCACTTAAAACAATAAACACTATAAATTGAGTTTCGTGTGATTTTGAAATTTTAAGAGCAAGAGAACCAATACGCTATATGTCTACTATGTCCAATGGGGCTGGTTTAAAAGGTGTCGAATTGCTTAGGCCGAGGAGTAAGTATTTTTTGTTTATTAACAAAAAAAAAAAACAGAGATTTAAAGGGTGGTCTACTTCATTCGAAATATAAATAGCTTTTACTAGATAAAAAACACCCTTATATGACAAGACTTGGGTTGAATTATCTTTTTTTTTTCTACGATATAAAGGCCAGTATAGCTTCATAGAATATTCAGTTGATTGTATAGAACCACAGCAACGTCATGCCAAGGGCTTACGTCAACGATCCCTTCCAACGCTTTTTCTAACTGTTTAAGCCCGTTTGTTTGTACGTTGCAGGTAACTGAGTGCACATCAGACTTCTTGTTTACGTAGTTTTTATATGAATCGATTTTTTCTTTGGCTTGGGTTACAAAATTAACGCTTAAGAGTATGACCACGAACATCCCCTTCGTTTCGATATGAAACGAAGTACGTCCGCATCTTTAGATTTAATCGATTTCGTGCGTCTCCTAATCTAGTAGTAGGCGAACATATTACCGTTGCACTATCACGGGGATATGAAATTTGAGGCTGATGCACATTAAGCGTTTTCCAACGAGGGCTCGTTTATGCACCTCGTAGAACAGGATG